CCTTGTGGGTATTGAACTAGGGACATGCATTTGGAGACCAGGGAGCACTACCCACTGTGCTATTGACCCACTGGTCTAAATATAAAACTTTATTTAAACAAGTATTTACTATTATTATATTAATAATTTATATATATATAAATTAATTATAATCTATTATGATAATATAAGGTAACATATATAAATTCTAAAAATACTTAAATTAAATATTAACTTGCTTACTTATATTATATTTAATTAATATTAAAAAAAAATTTTAAACAATATTAGTATTAAACATAAGCTGAATAGTAGCTATATCTATTTAACAAAAAAAAAAAGTTAATATATATAAAAAAAATTAAAAAAAATAAATGTAACTAAAACTAAAATTAAATTAAGTAAATTATAAAATCTATAAAAATAAAAGTTATATTTTTAAGAAAATCTTTGAATTAGCTTATTGTTTTGTTTTTTTAGTTTTTTAAAACTTGTTAATATGTTTTTTATTAATATAAATAAAAGAATATACTTGATATTGTTTATTGTTGTAATTGTAATTATTATATAACAATTGCTTTTATATATAAATTAAATTTAAATTGTTATTATAAAAAAAAAAAATTAATTATAAGAATTAAAAAATGATTTAATTTATATAAAAAAAATATTTTTTTTGATAGCAAATAAATATTAAATATATGGTTTATTAAACAAAGTTAAATATAATTTTTTTATTAAAATTTAATAATTATATATTATAAATAAAATTTGTTTTACTTATAAAGAACTTATAAAAATATTATACAGTAAAATAAAAATTTTTTTGCTTATAAAGAACTTATAAAAATACTATACAGTATGTAATTTTGTTAGTTATAAATTAATAAATTTCTTTAGCAAAATATAAAAATAATTTATAATTATTTTTTATAGTTAATGAAAAATAGTTAAAAACTCTTTATTTTCAAATATAATTTTATTAATATATTATAAATTTTTTTAAATAAATTTAATCTTTAAATCCTTAAATAAATAAATATGTATATATATATATCATATTATACTGTATTATTATGAGCTAAATAAGAATCCAAAGACTTTTGCACCAGACTGTATATATATAATTACCTGCAAATATAGTTACTGTATATTATTTCAAAAGGTTGATTGTTGTGATACGGTTGATAAAGAAATAATTAGTTCTATTGAATGACTTTTCCACATTAGCTTATTTTTTTCGATTTAAACTCATAAGAATATTGAAACTGTGAATATATTCGGTTCAATTTATTAAGAACATATACTGTAAATGATAAACCTTCACTCTCTTATCATCTTCGCGCTTAACAAGATTTTACATTAAGCAACATTTATAATCTCTTGTAATTCTTGATCATATTCTTAAGATCTAATGTTAGGTCTTTAGCAATACACCGATGTGATAAAGAAATATCACATCAACACCAATGACTGTCATAATTTCAAAGAATTATATCAGTTGTATCGAAATTGTACCAAATTTTTTATACGCCGTAAATTATTACAGTAGAACTGCCCCTGCGATTTAAAACTTTGCATGATATAATTAGATACGAATCGGTATTTAGACATTACATTCACACTTATTTGTATCAGTCTCAAGAAATTTTGTTTTTTCGAATAAGAATTATTAACTACTAAGTCAATGCATAAAATAAGACATGGCTTCCTAATCAGGTAATGCCAAAGGTGGAATGTTTAAAATTGGGATTTGAACATTTTGAGGGGATGAGTCCGATTCTCTATGGTATGACTGACCAGTGGGAGTAGACGGTTATTTAATTCATCAATAGAATGATCGATGCTTTTCTAATTAATAAAAATAGTAGATTATATATATGATTTTTAAAAATTTTAGATATGTTATCAATCGACTTACCAGTAAACTATATAGACTTGCTATAACATGAGTGATGATCAAAAAATTAGCAATTTCTGTAGGCAATAACACTTTTCCAATTTGCTTAAAACGATATAACCCATAACCCATCAAAAGCTATATCCATACTAAACAATCTAATACAACTCCCTATTTAATTTATATTTCATTAGATTAGATATTATTTAGAGTAGAATTATAATGATATTAACCTACCATCAATTATAATTCCAATCGTTTCCGAAGTTGGATAATAACCATATCGTTTATGAAGAGAATCCAATGACCTCTTCATAAACTCTGAAAGTTTTATCAATGCTTGATTTACTACATTATTGGAAGCGCTCGGAGGTTTTCTTTCCCCGAATGTAATTTCATTTACTTTATCAAAAAGAACCCTGAAATCTGGCTTCCTCCCAGTATGTGATCATTAGATTTTCATCGTTCCTTCGAACTATTAGACTCGCCATTGACCCTGATTCATTAGTTAAAAATTAAGTATTCATGTATATTAAATAGCTTGTATTAATTGAAATTTCACTTACCATACGAATTCAAGACGTTCATTTTAAACGCTTCCTCGAACATTAAGTGTCAATGTCTGTGAACAAAAGTGTCTTCATCCATATCATTCTGGTACTATCTAACGGTAAGCTTAAAAAACTGAAAATTAAAATGTATCATTAATATAATAATAATATGACATAAATAGTATAATTTTTTAAATTTAACTCACGAATTCCTTGTCACGAGTTGGACATAATCAAACATACTCTTCATTTGTCATCGAAGGATCCCATTTGGTTCAATTTTGATGCCATTTGATAATCAACTCATCTTTATTCTTCAAAAGCTAAATACGAGTAAAAACAATTTGTTAATTGTTAATTATAATATTTAGAAATAAATATAAAAGACTTACCTTGCTATATTCGCGTAGGAAAGTGTTGGCTTGTTTTTTAATCGTTCAACTGTTTTCATTTGAAATTCTCGAAAATCTCTAGAAATAGTATAACCGTTTTCTAATCACTATAGACAAAAAAATAATGATTAATAAACACTCAATATACATACAGTAAGACCTCTCTAAATGCACTTACTATGTTTTCTCTCTCTAAATGCACGGTCAAGCTTGGTCCCAAGTACATAGAACATTTAATAAAATCACCTCTATAAATGCAC